CCACTCTATCAAGTACCTCCCCCAAAAAGGTTCCAAAGTTTGAATAATTACATCTCCTATAAAATGTGATGTAAGAGTCCGATTGTATTCAAATTTCACACATCCAAAAAATTTTATTAACCCAACGTCTGGTGTTAAGATGAAATATATCAGTCAACTCCTTCTGCCACATCCCCCACAAAAGGTCACTTACCCTACATCGTAATATTTTTGTCAAACTTAGGCCGAGTTCGGAGATAGGCAAAATCGGGCCACTCCATCTTGTACCTCCCCAAAAAAATGTCGAAAATTTTCAAAAAATATATTTTCTGCAACTATATTTTCCAAGTTCGCAAATACGAATATTAGTGTCAGCGCTAGGTCAGCAACATCAAGAGAAATGGTTCGAAAAGTAAAGCATCGACTTGATCGAAACCCGTGTCGCAGTGGCCGAAAAATTGCTCATGAGCTGAACATATCGCAATATTCCGTTCGGCAAATATTAAAAAGTCCGGGGTAAAGCCAATGGAATTCCAAAAAGTGCAAAAACTTGCACCGCAAATTAAAGAAAATAGACTCAAAAGGGTTAAAGAGTTGCTTCGCTTGGCCGAAAGTGGTGAACGGCCGAATTTGGTTTTATCAGATAAAAAACATTCGTTGTCCAGCAGTTAGTAAATGTCGAAATTTTCAAAAAATATATTTTCTGCACAGAAAGAGAAACGATAATCCGATTTTGCAACTTTCCAAATCCAAATATTTGCGTCAGTGCTAGGTCAGGTGCGAAAATAGACAATATCGATCCACTCTATCAAGTACCTCCCCCAAAAAGGTTCCAAAGTTTGAATAATTACATCTCCTATAAAATGTGATGTAAGAGTCCGATTGTATTCAAATTTCACACATCCAAAAATTTTATTAACCCAACGTCTGGTGTTAAGATGAAATATATCAGTCAACTCCTTCTGCCACATCCCCCACAAAAGGTCACTTACCCTACATCGTAATATTTTTGTCAAACTTAGGCCGAGTTCGGAGATAGGCAAAATCGGGCCACTCCATCTTGTACCTCCCCAAAAAAATGTCGAAAATTTTCAAAAAATATATTTTCCGCAACTATATTTTCCAAGTTCGCAAATACGAATATTAGCGTCAGCGCTAGGTCAGTTGCGAAAATTGATAATATCGATCCACTCTATCAAGTACCTCCACCACTAAGGGTCAAACTTTTGAATAATTACAACTTTTATAAAATGTGACGTAAGAGTCCGATTGTCTTAAAATTTCACACATCCCAATAATTTTATTAACCCAAGGTCTAGTGTTAAGATGGAATATATCAGTTCACTCTTTCTGGTACCTCCCCCACAAAAGGTCGAAATTTTCAAAAAATATATTTTCTGCACAGAAAGAGAAACGATAATCCGATTTTGCAACTTTCCAAATCCAAATATTTGCGTCAGTGCTAGGTCAGGTGCGAAAATAGACAATATCGATCCACTCTATCAAGTACCTCCCCCAAAAAGGTTCCAAAGTTTGAATAATTACAACTCCTATAAAATGTGATGTAAGAGTCCGATTGTCTTCAAACTTCACACATCCCAATAATTTTATTAACCCAAGGCCCAGTGTTAAGATGGAATATATCAGTTAACTCCTTCTGCCACATCCCCCACAAAAGGTCGAAGTTTTGAATACCCATGAAGCTCATAAAACGCGAAAAAATATCTGAATCCATTTAGACAAGGCACAGCTGAATATTTCTATCAACGCAGGATCTGTTATTAAAGCGGTAGCGATCAGACCATTCCTTCTGGTACCTCCCCCAAAAAGGGTCAAGGTTTTGAATAACCAAAACGTTTATAAAATCCGAAATAAGCATAAAATTCTCTTTATATTTCACACATTCATTTATTTCTACTAACACAAGATCTGTTGTGAAGATAATACTTACATATCTGTGAAACCCTTTGTGTATCTCAACCACAACGGGTCACAATTCTCAATGCTTTTATCTGTCATAATTTGCAAAAAAAAAGTCAGCGATTCTTTACAATTTGTTATATCTAAATATTTATCTCCACCAGAAACTTGGGATGAATATGTATTGTCCGGAAAATGCAGTGTTTCCGAATTATTTTTTTTTTAAATATTTTGGTAGATTATGTTCTAGTGTAAATATATATACGAAGGTTGTCGGAATAACCCTTAGGCAGCGACAAAGATTTTAAGAAATTCGGTTAGTATATATTTTTGTTTAATTCAATCAATATTCCCATTGCAGAATATGTGGATTTTACACGGCAACATTTTTATAAGCATAATATGCCACCGCTTATTAAAATTCTTCAAGTTTGTTGTTAGATGAAATGGTTTAAAACGCGTTGATGATTTGAAAATATCTTTTGAACTCCATTTAAAATAAATTTTACTATTAATGTAATAATTTGAAACATTCCCCTTAGCTGAACCCAATTACCGTCTCCCCGTTGTATAGGGTATAGTCATACAAAAGTCACTCATATGTGGTCACTTATTGTGGGGTGGAGCGCACACAATATGCCATCGAAGGCTGCATTTGAAATGCTATGGGAAAAACGTATTTGATGAAGACATTTTCGGTTTTCAACATCCACTCCGTGTTATGTTTATTTTTGCCAATTTCTATAAAAGGAAAGTTTTGCTTCCCCAACTGGTTACCAAAGCACTATGGCAATAAGACTGCAGCCCAAAGTCAACTCATATTGGCCATATGATGAATGCTATGGCCATGGTCATAGCCACCAACACCGCCGCCTTAGCCACTGAAACAATCATCGTCATCTCCCATCTTTAGCCCCCATTGCCACTGGGAGTTGAATTGTAAAATAGTTTAAGCGAATTTTCTATTTTATTGTTCTGTTCATTCGTTCGCTCATCGTTGTCGGCTATGTTGTGAGTTGGCTGCATGGTCAACTTGCGGTATGGTTGTAGTAGATATGTGTATGTGTGTGTGTTTTCATTTCATTCATGTCTGAAATGAAAAGAGGTTATATGAATTAAAATTATGACATTATTCCGTTGGGGGATTTTTTTTTGGCCCCAGCAATGAGGGGGAGGCCTAAAGGTTGCAGCAATAAACATTGGGAATTTCTAATTCGCCTTCAACAATTATTTTATGAAATTTCACTCTTCTACGTAGGTCGGTATGAGTTCAAATTAATTTATTTTCTTACCATAAATAGTGGAGTTGAATACAAATTGTTGATGCCAATAAGGAGGGTCCTAGCCTAATTAAAATAATAGAGACCCTTAGAGACAGAATAATCTAGATGGCGTGGGCTAGGCGGATAATCTGTGGCCTATATTGTACGGATATGTAGTCGGTTTTGAAATTCTCTCGACTGATAAAAGTCAGTTTCGACTTTTAGACTATTCAATCGATCATGTAATACATAATCACAATTGCTCAGTGATTGTCACGATCATAAACAATGTACAGCGTATTTTAACTTAGTCGGTACACATTCGGAGCCAATGTCCAAATTTCACAAATATGAGATTCTAGGAAAAATTCCCATACCATAATATAAGAAAACAAGGTAAAAAGTATCGGTTAATTTTGTCGACAGATGTATACCCACAGCCAATGTACGATTACTTAAATATATTTTGACTTATGTTATAATAAGATAAACTGTTGACCCTCTTTGGAGTAGCATCTGAAGGAATGGGCCAATTTTGTCCTGTTCGTATCAGACCTAAATACATGTAATGTAAAAATTTGCTATGTGCCAGATTTGGACTGTATCGACCTTCAAGAGATATTTGAATTTTTTTTTGGAAAATGTAGAAATGTCCCTGAGATACCAAATATAGTAAACCAAAGTATATTCCACTCCCAATTTCATCTAATGCAGATAAAATATTGGCATGGGCAAAATAACAAGAAAATTTAATATTATTATCCAGTAATAGGCTAAATCGTAAATCCAATATTTAGATATAGCAAGCTATGAGATATATAAATATTGAAAATTGTTACCCTTTGCAGGTGAGGACCAGAAGGGTTTGACATATATCTATCATCTTCACAACAGATCTTGCGTTAGGAAAAATGTATGTATTTGCGAGCTTTAATTGAGCGTGTTTTTTAAAATCTTGAACCCTATGTGGGGGAGGTACCAGAAGAAATGGTCTGATCTCTATCATCTTTATAACAGATCTTGCGTTGATCTAAATATATACCAATTCTGAATGGAATCGGATGTTAATTTCGAGTTTTATTAGCTTCATGGATATTCAAAATTTTGACCCTTCGTGGGGGAGGTACCATCCCTACATACCTTGTGTTGGTAGAAATCTTGAAATGTGATAGGTCTGAATTGAGTCGGATGTTAATTTCGCGGTTTATGAGCTTCGGGGATATTCAAAAATTTGACCCTTTGTGGGCGAGGTGCCAGAAGGAGTAGACCGATACCTCCACTATCTTTATAACCGATTCACACCAGACCATGGGTTAGTAAAAATACTGTAAAGTGTGTAATTTGGAGACAAACGGTCTCTTATTTCACATTTTATAAGCGTTGAAATGTTGACCTTTTGTGAGGGAGTTACTAGAACGAGACAGTCTATATTATATACTTTCGCACCTAACCTAGCATAGGCACAAATATTAGAATTTGCAAAGTTTAAACACAATCGGATGATCCTTTCTTGTTCTGTGAGGTAAATTATTTTCTGTAAAAATGCTGACCTTTTGATGGGGACGTACCAGCAGGAGTGGACCGATATTGCCTATTTCCGAATTCGATCTAAGTTTGATAATAGTATTACGATGTGCCAAATTTGGATCAAATCAAATTTGGACCAAAGAGACATAGGGACACGTTTTGGCCATATAAAATGATATATACCTTCTCTAGCCATATGGCTGTGGGTAAAATAATAAATTGGCGAGTTTTGTTTATCACAAAGAACTGGGCTTACATCCAACCTTTGTTGTAGAATTTTGAGCTACAATTAGATATGGTCTTACAATAATATAACTGCTCTTCCAACATTTATTTGATTATTTTACAGCTTTTTTTTTCAATTACCAAGTACATACTTATTTGCTTGAACCAATCTTAGACATGGCAATTTCTAAAAATTTGTCAGCAGCAACTTTGGCAGCGTCGACCATTTTTTCACCACCGCCCAACATTTCCTTAAATATGGAATGCTAATATTAGAAGCAAAAAAACTAATTATAGAAAATTCGAAAGATTAAAAATATCAAGAACATACCACAGTGTCACTCATATCCATTAGTAGCCCAGGGTCGGGTTCAGCCCTACTTTGCTCGGCAAAGATAGATAAAACCACAATAATTGCAAAAACGAATACAGAAGTAGATTTCATTGTTATACGAATACAGAATTAGTAATAAAATATTCAAAAATTATTAGGTTTTTATAGAAAATTGATTTGAGGCAATGTCATTGTTCTAAATAAATGCAAATACATGTGACATCTGTGTAACCATTGAAGAAGTGCATATTGAATTGAGTTTTTAGGCTTTTTATATTTGCTTTCAAAAATGGCACAAAAAATGTATGATTTTACAATTTTTTAATTGTTCAGCGGGTTTTTTGACAAATGCTTTTGTTTTTAATTGATTTCTGAATAAAACAATGACGGTGTTTATAAATTATTATGTGTATTTCAATATAACACGACCTTGAAATTCAGTAAAAGGGGTGGCGAAAGCTCCTTCAAAAAGTGTTGGTGCTGGTCAAGGTTTCAGTAAATATCCTGCAATAGTATATTTCGGCTGAAAACTGAAAAAATGATTCCAGTGACAGCTCATTATAATGTTTACAATCTTACAAAAGCATTTTGGTGAGATTTTTTCAGAAAAAAAGTTATTCGTGATGGAATTTAAGCGTGATAGTCTGATTTCTTTATATTTGGCCCAAAAACCAGAAGTGGTTATCGTTAGAGAACTCCGGCATTTAAATCTGAATAATTTTTTTGTGTCTCGTACCATCGCTCGTTACCGTGATACTAGTAGTGTGGCCCGACGTCCAGGTAGTGGACGGAAGAAAACAGCAACATCAGCAGAAATGGTTCGAGAAATATGAAGCGACTTGATTGAAACCCGCGTCGCAGTGGCCGAATAATAGCTCGTGAGCTGAACATAATACAATTTTCTATTCGGCAAATATTAAAAAATGAGCTCGGTGTAAAGCCATTGAAATTCCAAAAAGTGCAAGAACTTACATCGCAACAGAAAGAAAAAAGACTGAAAAGAGCTAAAGAGTTGCTTCGCTTGGCCGAAAGTGGTGAACTGCCGAATTAGCTTTTCTCCGATGAGAAAACATTCGTTGTCCAGCAGTTTGTAAACAAACAAAATTGTCGTGTTTACTTGCCAAAGAGGGCAGCTGAAAATGTGCAACTTCGGTTGGCCACCAGAACTTTAGTGCCAGCCTTGGTGATGGTGAGGTTCCTCCTGGAATCAATCCGTTGGACTATTGTGTCTGCGTATTTTGGAAAGCAAGGTTGGCGCTAAAAAATACCAAAGTGTCGATAACCTCAAGCAAGCGCTTCGTCGAGAATGGGCCAAAATACCCCAGAGCAATTCGAACAGCGTGTGACGATTTCATTGGTCGTTTGAAGGCCATAATTCAAGCCAAAGCAGACCAATTCGAACAAATCTAAACATGTTCTAAAAGTTGATGCTATATCCCACATTTTCTTGCTTTCATTAAAAAAAATAAATAAAAATAATAATAATAATAATAATAATAACAATAATAATAATAATAATAATAATAATAATAATAATAATAATAATAATAATAATAATAATAATAATAATAATAATAATAATATAATAATAATAATAATAATAATAATAATAATAATAATAATAATAATAATAATAATAATAATAATAATAATAATAATAATAATAATAATAATAATAATAATAATAAAAATAAAAAAGAATTATAAAATATTGTGTTTGACTTTGTTGCAGTTTTTTATCACACAAAATATATTTGAAATAACCACGGTTATTGCTCTTACTGCCATTGAAATATTATTCATAAAAATCCACGCACAGCTCTGTTACTGGGTAAAAAGTATCAGCAAATCTTCGATGACAAGAGTTATAAAAAATAAATGGCCATAATGATGCCTCAAACATATTTTGAAAAGGCCAACTACCGTTAGGTACCATAAATTTGTTATAAAAATAAAAAATAAACCAATAAAAACTTTTTATGAAATGCAGCTCATATGATCGTTAAAAACCTTCTTAGTAATCCACTATCTCTGCTCCAACAGTCCTTAAAACTATTTTTTTTTTTAAATTTTGTAAAAGTTCAAATTAAAAGCTTTGAGGGTCGTCTAATAGAAATTTAAAAAAATCTAATGGTCGTTGTTTAATGTAGATTGATAATTTTTAATCTGCTACGTTAACAATGATTGCTTGTTATTGCAATAACACTACTCTTTTATATCGCCGATACGAACGAAGGCTCTCCCCCACCATTGTACAATTCGGGTAATATTACTTACCAAAACTCTTTTTTATTTATTATTAATGTCTCTGACCGGGGCGTTTGCCTAATATTTACGCACTCCGTCTTGTTGTTAGGCATTCAAAAGAATTTCACTCGAAAGTTGTGTCCATTTCACAGCTAAATATAAATCTATTAGTCAATCAAAAATGCTAGACTTCTTCCCTGCCATTAACCATCAAAATGTCGGATATCGGGAAGTTCCCTCATATAGGGGATTTGCGAAAACGTGGATCTTCAGAACCAATGTTCTGGATCTTCAGAACCTTTACTAGATACAAATACCAAGTATTAGAGAAAAATGTTGGTAATACCATCAATATATCGAATATCGGGAATTACCCTTTTATAGGGGCTTAACGAAAACGTGGATCTTCAAAACCAATGTTCTGTCTTCGAAGCTGGCAACCATTACAAAGAAAAATACCATTTATTACACAAACCCGTGAAAAATGTGGCAAAAATCATCAAAATACCGAATATTGGGAGGTATCCCCATATGGGGACTATACGAAAACGTGGACCTATATATATAATGTTCCGCCACAGTAACTAGAACCCATAACGAACTTAAAATTGTTGGTAAAATGTGGCTAAAGCTACAAAAATACCGAATATCAGGAGCTACAGTTTTATAGGGGGCTATCCCAAAATGTGACATCGTAAAATCGATATAGATTTTTATGCTGACCATAAATATATGTACTTTATGGGGTCTATGGCGAATATTTAGAAGTGTTACAAACGGAATGACAAATTTGATATACCCTTCTTTCCAAGGTGGAGGGCATAAAAGATCAAAATATGAATTCATTCATTCTGGTATCAACTTAAAATTAATTCAAGCTATGAAACTTGTCTAAATAAATATCCCTTTTCACATCTCTGTAGAGACTATATAAATAATTGACTAAATCATGTGGGATCTGAAAAAAAATATATTTACGTTTTTAATTTGAAAATAAAAATATTTGAAACAAAAGCTAAGAAATGATAAGCGTCAGAACTACTCAGATTCAAATTTAATATACCCTCCATTCCAAGGTGGAGGGCATAAAAGATCAATATATGACTTCATCCATTCTGGTATCAACTTCAAGTTAATTCAAGCTATGAAACTTGTCTAAATAAATATCCCTTTTCACATCTCTGTAGAGACTATATAAATAATTGACTAATACATATGGGATCTGAAAAATATATATTTACGTTTTTAATTTGGAAATAAAAATATTTGAAACAAAATCTAAGAAATGATAAGCGTCAGAACTATTCAGATTCAGGCTCTTCTGCATCGTCAGCTTCCTCGGGTTCTTCTTCTGCTTCTTCATCTTCGCCTAATCCAGCCCGATCCTTAACATTTTCAATTATTTTATCTGCCGACTGCTTTGCAGCATCAAGCATTTTGATACCACCACCTAGCATTTCCTTGAATATGCCGTGCTAAAAATAAAAATTAATTTACTATATTTTCGTTAAAAATAAAAACTCCATTTAAAATTACCATAACTCCTGTCATTTCAGCCAATATAGGCTCAGGTCCAGGTTCGGCACGGCTCTGGCCAGCGAGGACAGATAAAATTACAACGATAGCAAAGAAGAAGCCACAAGTAAATTTCATCCTTAGGCTGAAGGGTAATTACAGATATAATTTTCAAAATTGTTTCCATTTTTATACATTTACATCCTTGGAAGAACAAAGAAAGCTAGGCCAAAATGCATTTGTTTTGTAAATGAAAGGCATTTATTTTTCAAACATCTGTGCAACCATATTTGTTTTTAAACTCTTTAGAATGTATATCTGAATGTGCAATTGATTTAATTTTAGATTAATTAAAATATATAAATTGACGAAATTAAGCAAATATTTGCTGAAGAATATTCTTCGATGATAATCTGTTTTGTGTCTTTAATTCATTTGCTCTAGAGTGATGATGTCAATCCACTTTTAATATTCTAACAAACTCTTTAACAACAAAACCTTACGGAAAAATACCATACATTTCTTTTATTCTAAAAATAATGCATTTTCTAACTCTAGATATGGTTTTGCATGAGAAATCGTATAAAAGTTAGCTCAATTTCGAACATATCATCAGTCATCTGCAAATTGTTGGAAAATGAAATTCGCTTGTGTTTTCTTCGTTGCAATTTTATCTGTCCTGGCCGGGCAAAGTCAGGCAAGACCTCAACCGGAACCTCTTTTGGGTGAAGTGACTGGTGTTGTGGTAATTTTAAAAACTAATTAAATTTTGAGAAAAACGATTAAAATTTTTATTCCTAAATTGTAGCACGGCGTATTCAAAAATGTGCTAGGTGGTGGTATCAAAATTCTTGATGCTTCAAAGAATACTGCTGATAAAATAATCGATAAAGTAAAGGAGACAGTTGGTTTGGGTGAAGAACAGCCTGAAGAGCCAGAAGCTGAAGAACCAGTAGCCGAGGAATCAGAGGCTGAGGAACCAGAGGCTGAGGAACCTGAGCAAGCCGAGGAACCAGAGCAAGCTGAGGAACCAGAGCAAGCTGAGGAACCAGAGCAAGCTGAAGAAGCAGAACAAGCTGAAGAACCCGAAGAAGCTGAAGAGCCAGAAGCAGCCGAAGACTCTCAATCGGAGTAATCTTAGTTTATTAAAAAAGCATTATACATTATCTTCTAAAAGTAATGTTTAAAAAATAAATGTTTGCATTTTAAAAACTGTTCTAATTTATACCTTTTGATTTTATATGCATTCAGAATTGTATATACGAACATTTTGTGGTTTTTAAATAAAAATAAAACAAATTCAAGCAAATTTTTATTGTAATGCTTAAGGATATACAATATTTTTTCTTATTCCTTCAGGGCGTAAAAATGCAAATCGCTCGGTCTACCAATGCGTGAATATGCCAGGTACTGCTGGATATGAGAAAACAATGTGTGGAAGGGAGGATAATAGCGATTTAGGGGCTAACATTTACCTGGGATGATTGTTATTATACCCTCATATGGCTACAGAAGGTATATATTATTTGATACAGCAAAAACGTACCTCAACGAAATAACAGTTTTAGACCCTAGGTCTCTTAGGACCAAATCTGTTTTAGGACATTTGAGGTCAAGCTGGCGATATCCATCCGTCCGTCTGCAGTCTGGTTGGCCAAAACTTGGCGCATTGTAATATTATTATCAAATTACATATTATTATCTGGTACCTCCCCCACAAAAGGTCAATTTTTTCAAAAAAAAACTACTTTACTGCACAGAAAGAGAAAAGATAATGCATCAGTGCTAGGTCAGGTGAGAAAATGGACAATATAGGTCCACTGCAGGGTGAGATGAAAGAACTGCAACCAACTTTAGACATTTCTAAGCCACTTGTTCAACAGCTGGTAAAATTATTCCAGCGACAGCCTATTGTATAGTTTACAAGCGTACGAAAGCATTTTGATGAGAAATTTCCAGAAAAAAGTTATTCGTGATAGAATTCAAGGGTGATATTGTGATTTCTTTATATTTGGCTGGAAAACCACAAGTGGCTATCGTTAGAGCACTTCAGCTATTAAATGTGAATACATTTTTTGTGCATCGTACCATCGCTCGTTACCGTGATACTGGTAGCGTAGCCCGACGTCAAGGAAATGGACAGAAGAAAGCAGCAACATCAGCAGAAATGGTTCGAAAAGAAAAGAAGCGACTTGATCGAAACCCGCTTTGCAGTGCCATTCAGAAAATATTGAAAAATGAGGTCGGGATACAGCCATTGAAATTCCAAAAAGTACTAGAACTTACACCGTAACACACTGAAAGAGAACGCTTCATATCATAAGTGAATTCCTACGTTCCGTCAATGAAATTTGTCATTGATTTGAGGTTCATTGAATGAATGAAAAAAGTTTCATTGAGTTTAATTAACGTAAAATTAACGAAATTGTTCATTAATGTAATGACATTCTTCATTTGATAATCTTTCCACAGATTTGCCCAAAAATTTGCATTTGCAGTTCGTAATAGGTTCTAGCTCCTGTGGCGGAACATTGTTGATATAGGTCCATGTCTTCGTATATCCACATTTTTCAATGAAATTGCTTCAAATTTCGTATTTCAAATTCGAAATTCGTACTACAGCATATGACATAAAAATACATTTGCTGGTCTAGATCTTCGTATTCCCATACAAGGGTTTTCATTAAAGTGGCATAGTTCGAAGGATTTTTGCAATTTTTTGATGAATGGTGGAGGGTATTAGGTTCGGTGTGGTCGAACTTTGCTTTTTTTACTTCTCAATACCTACGCCGCACTGTGGTAGAGGGTAATTATTCGTTGTGCATTTGTTTGTAACAGGTAAAAATACGCGAAATAAACCCTACTTTTATGGATGATCTTTATAAAATCACATTCTGAGTCGGTTTATGAATGTCAGTCGCCTTATTGAGATGACATTTTCCATACATGATTTGTTTGGCCTAGAACTCCATATCGTAACGTTTCATTTATTTAATGAAACTGCTTCATTAATTTCGCGCACAGATTTAAATATAACAATTATCACAATTTTCCCTCAAGTTATAAGTACTTTGGTTGCGTACTTGTTTGTATCAGACAGCGCGGTTATGTGTAATTTCTATATTCACATTTTTTACTGAATTTTGTAAAAATATGTAGTTTCGTAACATTAATGAAATCAGTTTCATATATGCAATGAAATCAACAATCATCGAATATTAAAGCAACGTAAGTTTTCATTACATGAACAAAATATTTATTATATTAAGGTAGCTTTTCATTACATCAATGAAAAAAAATCAATGGAACCGGTTCATTGATACAACGAAGCTTTTTTCTTTCAATGCAGAAAGAAAATAGACCCAAAGAGCTAAATAGTTGCTTCGCTTGGCCGAAAGTGGTGGACAGCCGAATTTGGTTTTCTCCGATGAGAAAACATTCCTTGACCAGTAGTTTGTAAACAAACAAAATGATCGTGTTTACTTGCCAAAGAGGTCAGCTGAAATTGTGGACCTTCGGTTGGCCACCAGAACTCAAGCGCCGGCCATGGTGATGGTGTGGGCCGCCATAACAGTCGATGGTCGCTCTCCATTAGGATTAATCGATCGCGGCATCAAAATAAATGCCGAATATTATCGCGAAAATATTCTGGAAGGTGCATTAAAGCCTTGAGCATGCAAACATTTTGGCCGCAGAGCTTGGACTCAGCACCATCGCACTCAGCACGCGCCACCCAAGAATGGTTACAAAATGAGGTTCCTCGCTTCATTTCCAGCGCACAATGGCCACTAAAATCTGTTTGGAGTGTTTTGGAAAGCAAGTTTGACACTAAAAAATACCAAAGTGTCGACTAAATCAAGCAAGCGGTATTCTTAAAATGTAACAGAATTTTTTAAGGATTTTATTTTTTTTAATTTCCAAATTAGTTCCAAATGGTGGAGGGTATTCAAAGCTCGGCCCGTCCGAACTTACTGTTTTTTAACTTGTTTTGCTTTCATTCAATAAAATTTAAAAAAAACATGTAAAAATTATGTCATTTGACTTTGTTGCATGTTTTTTATCTCACCCTGTATTAGCATTTCCCATAAGGGTTTCCTTTATCAAATTATTGAATGGCTATCCGTGATGTTAAGATTTTTGTTCTTTTCCACAAATCTCAATTAATAAGTAAAAACCATTCAGTTCATGATATTATTTTAGTTATGTCTTAAAATACTAATATACATTGCTGCAAATATATAATCCACTAACATGTTTAACAAAATATGAATAAGCAAATACGAAAAACTGGGAGAATGGCAGTTATTCGATAAAAATATTTGTTAATACAACACTTTTTTATTTATTATACAAATATAATATTTGTTTGTTTAAAAAACAATTGAAATATATCTAAACCCACAATTGGAGTCTAGACTCACAAACAAATTGAAAGGCAAGTAAACTCGCTGTAGAACTTTTGGGAAATTTTTGGAAATAGTCATGCTAACAATAATTGCATTGGAAAGACCTTACTCAATAAATATAGCAGTATAGCTACTTTCGAAATTTTCTGGCATGCTTTAAATAATTCTCCGTAAATGGACTTTTTTTTGAAAAATGAATTTAGCAATTATCAATACCTTCAATACCTTTAATACAATATGCAAATATTCAATCAAATTCATCTCGAGTGCATAATTTGTTCGTACACACATTGTTGGTAAACCCTTTGCTCAAAAAATGCAAACAATTTTGATTTTGTTCAATTTGCATTTCTTAGAATCGCCGATTGGTTGAAAAGACCAAAACCCCCCCAAAGCACTTAAACACATAACAGTGAAATGCTGCTCTTTGGGATGATTTACCACAAACAAAGCGGACGGACGGCAGAGCTAACATGGCCAATGCCAATTGCTAACGATGAACAATCAATGCTTGTTGCTTGAATTCTGCCAACTGTCAAATGAAAATGATAAAAACACAACAAAAATTTGCTGACATTACACTCCACATCAAATGCAACAGTCATGGCAATTGCAACATTAGTTGCAGCAAATAAAGCTGCAGCGAACGCAACTTGAAGGACCGATCGGCCGACCAAGCGACCATTCAACCAAAGCAATTCGAATTTTTACGGACAACGACCGATACTGTTAACATGTCAAACAGTTGAAAGTTCTCCGCTTTTCACAAAAAATAAGAAAAAAAGAGAAAAAATCCAAAAATGTTTGAAATACCAACAAGCTACTGTTTGGGCAGCTATAGGGGCCGACAAGCCTGATTGCCGGAGAATATGAAAAGCGTTCACCTTGTTGTTGCTATGCATTTTTGTTGTTGGTCTTTTTGTTTTTGATTCCTAACGAGGAGACATTCAAACGGACAGACAGATTGAGACCCCTTTTACTTGTCAATTGATATTGTTGCGTACTTAAGAACTCCACGTACGAAACGCTCGCTCACTGGCGACTAATATCGCTGCCAGCAGCAGCGTAAGAGTGCAAGTCAACATTGGAGAAGTCCAGAAGTCAGTTCGCTTTGAGCTTTTAAGTGAAAGCAATAACAAGAAAAGATAACAGAAATATTTTATTTTATATTATAATGACAATGTATACAGAGAGGGCTCGAAAGCTGGAGGACCACACGCAGATTCCAGGATAGAATATCAAAATCAGCTGAAAATTAGTAACGAATCTTCTTAAGGTAGGCAATTATATGTAGTGTATAAGATTTTATGTAAAAGACGGGCAAAAATCTCCCACACTTAAATACAATATCTATTTCATTGAAGATCGGAATGGGCTGCTAGTTTCGAAGCAAGTAAAATAGCATCTAAGTTCTGCGGGACCCATTTTTTCATATCCTCCGCCCTAACAACTTCATCGAAAATGAGGCTAATATCATCAAGATACTGAACATTGGGATGTATCGATCCACTACAAATGTTTACAACAATAAATATCGTTGGAAATCGTCTTACGGGTACTTGGCCAACACGTGGATCTATATTTACATTTTTTCAGATACCCATTATTAGTTTATGTACCAAATTTACCCCATTTCTGTTGGAAAAATCATCGAAATGCTCAATATCGAAATACTTAAATCAGGAACTACCCCTACATTGATGATACTTCGAAACATTAACCTAAATTGAAAATTTTTTGCGAAGAAATAAGGGGATATCTTCATATGATAATTTTTGCATGATTTCTTTATCTTCTTAAATTATT